ATTTGTTCTACTCGTGAAAATCAAAAACAGGTGTATGAAATTAAGTTCACTTTTAGCGGTGGTTCAAGAGTTTCAGTGTCACTATATGGATCAGTTGAGGTTCAGAGGTTCACAGTGTCACCATATGGATCAGTTGAGGTTCAGAGGTTCACAGTGTCACTATATGGATCAGTGAGGTTCAGAGGTTCACAGTGTCACCATATGGATCAGTTGAGGTTCAGAGGTTCATAGTATCACAATATGAATCAGTTGAGGGTCAGAGGTTCACAGTGTAACCATATGAATCAGTTGAGGTTCAGAGGTTCACAGTGTAACCATGTGAATCAGTGAGGTTCAGAGGTTCACAGTGTAACCATGTGAATCAGTGAGGTTCAGTTAGTGTCGAATCCTAAACATCTCCTTCGGGTACTTAAGTGAGTGAAATAGATAAATCAATTCGGTGAGGGAGTTAAGTTGAACGCGTCCCAGTAATGTTTATGTTAAAATTAGAGAGTCGTCAAGTTTCTCAGTCAAAGAGGTATTGCTTCAGTGTACTAGTGCGGTACTTAGAACTAATTTGCATATTAGAGTACAGGTATTATACTAGGTTTACCTGTAATCACGTAATGAGCTACAGGTATTGTACACCCACCTGTGATAGTTCTGTTGTTCTCTCTCTTTCTCTCTCTCCGTTCCTCCTTCTCTTCTCTCTCTCTATCCCCCTGTCCTATCTTTATCTATTTCTCCCTCCGTTCCTCTCTCTCTCTCTCTCTCATCAAGCTCACCCTTTTCCCTTTTCTTTTATTTCCTTCTGCCAAGTATCCTTCCTATCCCCCTCCCCTCCCATCGTCTCCTTCCCCTCCCCTCCCATCCACTCCTCCAACCACCCTTCCCACTCACTACACCAGCCTCCTCTCCCATCCACCTGTCCAACCACCCTTCCCACCCACCCCACCATCCTCTCCTCCCATCCACCTGTCCAACCACCTTCCCACTCACTCCACCAGCCACCCCTCCCACCCACTCCACCAGCCTCCCCTCCCATCCACCCCTCCAGCCTTCCCTCCCACCCATCACACCTGACGACGCCTTCCCGCGAGGCCTTTCCCACACTCCTCAACGCCTCGCTGAACAAATGGAACTAATGCAAATGTGGTGGTCAAGTGGTGGAGTATTGTACCATGATATGTTGTGGTACCATGATATGTTGTGGTACCATGATATGTTGTGGTACCATGATGTGTTGTACCCTAATGTATTGTACCATGATGTGTTGTACCATGATGTGCTGTTGTACCATAATGTGTTGTTGTACCATGATATGTTGTGGTACCATGATGTGTTGTACCATGATGTGTTGTACCATGATGTGTTGGACGTGCTGGTCTTGTTGTTGATGCTATTCTTCTTCCCCTCTCATGTTCCTCCCTCACGTTCCTCCCTCATGTTCCACCTATGTTCCACCCGATCATTCATGTCAATAATTGGTCACCCAAAACCTCATTTATTCCCCGGGTTGAGATGCCAATATGCTTCCTGTCATAGTAGCGATGTTTCTGTTTGTTTCTCTGTAGTAATAACACCCAACAGTCATTTTAACAGTCCGAACTCACAGTCTTTTGGATCTCCCAGTCAGTCAGTCAGTCAGTCAGTCAGTCAATCCAGAGAGGGTTTTTTTTCCTATGTTGAATAACCTCCAATGGTTTATAAATTTCCGCTTCAAATGTCTTCTGTTTTTTGGGGGTGGGGGAAAGGGAGGGGGGGGGGTGGAGAGGCGTGGGGAAGAGGGGGTGGGAGGGAGGGGAAGAGGGGGGTGGGGACGAGGAGGGATAGGGGAGAGGTTATATACAGAGTTGACATGATAGCCAAAATATCTAGTTGTTCAGGAAAATATAACACACAGTAAACCATAGACGAATTCCCCAGCAGCTATCAACACACACACACACACACACACACACACACACACACACACACACACACACACACACACACACACACGAACGTTATAAAGATTCACCATTGTTGTCATTTATGATTAATTTAATTTGTCTTCATTTTTTTCTTCTTATCTGATGGATGAGTCAAATGTTTTATCAAGTTTATTTTATTCATGGGTGATGTAATGTTATTATTCTATGTTTATTATTAATTTTATTGTTCTAATTATTCATCTATGTTGATTTTATTTATGTTTATTTATTTCATTGTTTTTTTTTTCATTGTTCGTGTTTTTATTTAAATTTTCCTTGTCCTTCTTCGTATAATTCTTGTCAGGTTTTCTCCTCCTTTATCTCTCTTATTCTCCTGCCTATCTCTCATTCATTTTCTTTATACTTGTCTCACTTTCCCCTTCCCCTTCGCCCAATTCTTCTCTCTTCCATCCTGTTATCATTCTTCCTCTACCCACTTCCCCTTTCACATCCCATCCTTTCCTCCTTCTCCTAATTTCCCCCTTCCTCCCTTTCTCCTCTCTTCCTCCCTTCACTTCACGCCTCTACACTCACCACCACCACCATATGCTGTACGCATCATTACGCCTGTGTCACAACCATATACGCACCCAGGTTCCTAAGCCTTCATTACGGGGATGGATAACTGTGTTCTGACAGGCGAGAGAGAGAGAGAGAGAGAGAGAGAGAGAGAGAGAGAGAGAGAGAGAGAGAGAGAGAGAGAGAGAGAGAGAGAGGGGATCGCGTGTTTATGTCTATGAAAAACTGTAATGGAATAGTGTGTGTGTGTGTGTGTGTGTGTCTCTCTCTCTCACACCTTCACCACATTTAACATCCTTCTCTTCCCCCCTAAGTCATAAAACCTGTCCACTCCATGTACAGTAAATTCATTCACCTCTAGTTAACAACGTCTGTAACTAACTGTAATTTAAAACATCTGTTATACCTTTTTTGTTCTATCTTGTTCTCCATCGCATAGAACATTTTTATTCAGAACACATCATCAAAAAAGTTATCCATCGTGTTGTGAGGAGAGGCAGCGTCACGAGTCATTCCACAAGAGGTCATTTCACGCGGGATTAGTCTTGGAACTTTTATATCCACCAAAAATACTGAGATGTTTCCGCTACGTTCTTCCGGGGGAATTGTTTCTAGGTAGAGAGAAAGAAGGGGGGGGGGGAGGGGTGAGAGAGAGATTGAGAGAGAGAGAGTGGGGGGCGTATGAGACAGAGAAAGAGAGAGAGATAGGGAGACAAGTTTAGCTATGCTTCCCTTAACAAAATATCATAGGTAGAGGAACGAAAGATGGCGGTGTGGTACAACATACTTTACACCGAAAACTCAAATTTAAAACATCTCAATATAACAGTTGCTTTTATCACTGTTATTATGTTACAGTGACGTTAAATTACCAATATATAATGAGCCACATCCTCTCTCAACGACTAACTTTAATCTAGAACGAAAAAAAATCTGAATTATATATCGCTGGTTACTGTTATAGAGTCACTTTATAAAACACTTAAGAGAGTTTAGTTAATACAGTTCTCAAGGCTCCTGTTTATGAGGCGTCTAAGTGGCTTAATTACTGATGTGTCGCTCAAGTGGTAGGAGAGGAGAGGTGTAGTTGGTGATGGAGAAAGAGAGAAGCAGGAGGTGGAAAGAGAGGAAAAGGATGAGGGGAAGAGACGGAGAGAGAAAGTGAGATAAAGGAGGAGAAGGGAGAAAAGAATGAAAAAAAAGTAAGAGGAGGTAGACAAGAGGGAGAGGGAGAGGGAAAGAGAAAAAAGGAGGACGAGGAGAAAGAAGAAGAAGAAGAAAGAGGAGGAGGGGGCAGAGGAAAAGAAAAAAAAAGAAGCAAAAGGAGGGCAAGAAAGAGGAAGAATGAGGAAGTGGCAAGACTATCAACATTCACAGTTTCTCACCTAAATAGATCTTATTACCATACAGGTGTGTCATTAATACCACATATTATACCTCTCTCCCCATCTCCCCCTTCTCCCCCTTCCTCTCCCCTCCCTCTCCCCTCACACTACCCCCCCCTTTCACTCTATGCCTCACTGACCAGGTATGCCTCTCATGCCTCTCTCCTCTACCACACCATCTGCTTTTACCACCCTCACATTCCCCCTACACACATCTGGCATACCGGGGATTCAGAGGACACATAGTTCTAATTCCCCCAAAAGGTCTGTGTACACGTGTGATGTTTGACCTTAATTAGAGACTTGAGAACGTGTCTACCTGAGTCATTGAACATTCCATACATAGTTAGTGGGTGAGCTGGTGTTAAAATGACACTATTGGTAATTTCGAGGTTAAGGTCTGTGTGTTAGTTTTTCTCAACCTAATTGGAGAATAGAGAGAACGTATAAAATTGCCCCCTTTTCTCTATTACTGTCATATATTTTCCCTTCTCTCTCTCTCTGTCTCTCTCTCAGTATCACAGAGTCAGGAAGAAAATTCGACGTAGGTGAAATTGTTAAGTAAGGCTGGGGAGAAATCAGTGAGCTTGGCCGTGAGCACATTATCTGTACAGGAAGTTAGGATCAGCTGAACACTGCCCGCTCGGGGTGGGTTGGTGGGTGGGTGGGTGGGTTGGTGGGTGAGTGGGTGGGTCCTCTCTCTCTCTCTCTCTCTCTCTCTCTCTCTCAATGGCCGTGGTGAGATGAGATGGACGCGTTCAACCCTCGTAAAGAATATCAGAATCTGAATTACCAATCAGGTGAACTGTCCTCCACATCTGTTTGTTCTTTCTCCACTATCACGTAATCAGAAGAGAGAGAGAGAGAGAGAGAGAGACTACGACTGTTAAATTCTTGCGATTACGGTGGAACCTGTACAGTATACGGCCTGCCATTGAGAAGATAATTCAAAGGAGGACGAAGAGAGACAATCAGATGAACCATTCGTCTCGTCTCTGATCAATGGTTGATTTTCACTGTCGTACTAGAAGGCCATCAACCCGCCATCTCCTGACTGACAGATTCTGAGAAGGAGGAATTCAACTATTATTTCGTCATTGGAAAGTATTTATTACTTAATTTCCCGGACGACCATATGTGTCACTTGTTTGTCAAGGGGGAACAGAAGTGTGTGTGTGTGTGTGTGTGTGTGTGTGTGTGTGTGTGTGTGTGTGTGTGTGAAAGAAACAGATGGTGAGAATGTCTGTCCGATTGTTTTTTTGTTTGTTTTTTTCTGCCAGAGGAAGTGATGTTGCGTCTGTCTGTTTGTCTTATTTGATTCTATAGTTGGTCGGTCGGTCCACTCATATCTGCGTGAAGCAATTAGAAGTGACTT